AATCTATCAATCTATCAATCTATCAATCTATCAATCTATCTATCAATCTATCAATCTATCAATCTATCAATCTATCAATCTATCAATCTATCAATCTATCAATCTATCAATCTATCAATCTATCAATCTATCAATCTATCAATCTATCAATCTATCAATCTATCAATCTATCCAATCTATCAATCTATCAATCTATCAATCTATCAATCTATCAATCTATCAATCTATCAATCTATCAATCTATCAATCTATCAATCTATCAATCTATCAATCTATCAATCTATCAATCTATCAATCTATCAATCTATCAATCTATCAATCTATCAATCTATCAATCTATCAATCTATCAATCTATCAATCTATCAATCTATCAATCTATCAATCTATCAATCTATCAATCTATCAAATCTATCAATCTATCAATCTATCAATCTATCAATCTATCAATCTATCAATCTATCAATCTATCAATCTATCAATCTATCAATCTATCAATCTATCAATCTATCAATCTATCAATCTATCAATCTATCAATCTATCAATCTATCAATCTATCAATCTATCAATCTATCAATCTATCAATCTATCAATCTATCAATCTATCAATCTATCAATCTATCAATCTATCAATCTATCAATCTATCAATCTATCAATCTATCAATCTATCAATCTATCAATCTATCAATTTTAACGGGTAATATCTAATTTTAATGATATTGTATCAATTCAATCGTTTTATTTTCATGTTGAGCTTCATTAGCACTCAATTGGAACATGAAGAACTTTTCTGATTACATTAATAATACAATTATAATTAAAATGTAATAATAATTATACAATATTTCAGCAGATTCCTCCTGAAATGCCCCACCAGAAGAACCTTTATAAGACATTTTACTAACCAAGTTCTGTCCCGAGGCCTTCAAGCCTTCGTCCTTTTTCGCGGCATGGTAATGAAGGCACAAAAGTGCATTCAACTGAGCGTGAAGGCGGGAATTGACAGGACAGGGTCTAGAGACCGGAAAAGGATGCGGACAGGGAGGAGGTGAATTCCGCGGGATTCCTTTAGGCCATGACAAGAGGCCACCACAAAAGGGTTGGCGAAACTTTTTGAAGTTGCTACAAAATTGCGCTAACTTTTTAGTAAGTCACTTGATTATTTGGTCCTCGCCTTGCCTCATTTCTGTGCCTCTGAAGGAGGTGAAAATTGCTTCAATGAAGTTGCCTTGTTGTCGACTTGTCTCCGGTTTCACAGCTATAGTCCCCCGAAAAAGGATACTACCCCCATGGGTTGACCTTGTCCTGGGATTTGGGTCGGAGTTTTTGGTCGGAGCTGTTGGAAACTGGCGACATTTAGCGCATAATTGAGACAATTAAATTCGCTTTGACAATGGGACCCAAAGTGAGAGAGAATCGAGGCAAATCAACAGCAAAACGGGAATGAAATGTAATAAATAAACCAAAAGGCGATGGGATAATGAAAGGGGAAAGAAGTTCAAGGAGTCTGGCCCAACACTTTGCCAAAAGGAATCCAAAAATTAATTGAGTTTCAGCTCGGGGTCAGTTCAATGCCAAAAGGATAGAGACACACAAAAGATACATTTATCTTGACAATTCTGGGCCATTTGTTCTAATCTAAAGACTTTCTCTTCTTTAAAATTTCATTTGATTGCTCTTTTTGGTAGCGAAATTTGTTTAAAATAAATGAATGAATAAATTTTTAATATTTATTTAGTATAAATATAGTATAAATAAAATAAACCAAAACATAAAATTTAGTATTTAAGTAAAACAAAGTTCATCATTTTAAAGTATCTTAAAGTAATATTTTATGCTCAGCTTTTTTTTTTCTGCCCATCTGCATTTTCTTTAAGTGTGCTACCGTGAAAAGGGTTGACAGAGGTCAACCTGTAAATTGTAATTAAATTTTTCCTCCGGTCATAAAAGTCTTTTTTTTTATATCTTTCGGGTATCACCTTCTGGAACTGCTTGTCCCGGGCCAGGATTTGATGTCCCCACTGCAGTGCCTGTTGCATAAGTGATGTCCTTTCCCTTCAGAAAGCTGACTGCTTAGTATGCATTGCATTTCCCAAGCCGATTGGGAGACTCCTCTGCGATCCTGCCCAGCTGCAAGGCTAAGGCGACAGGCGACGGGCTCCGACTGATTTTATTATGCGGAAAGTGATATTCGAGGAGGCCGCCCAGGACGAACTTCCTCCAGAGCCAAACATCCTCCGATTTCCGTATCTTTTGCCCTACGAAGTCGCGTAATTGGAGCGTAATGTGCTAAGTTGACAGGCACGTGAATTGCCTCTAATTTGTTGCCTGTTTGTAGATTGTCCTCCCATGAATCCCCTTTTCCAGCTTTTCCGATTTCCCTCACACATCTGTTGCATATTTCATGGCGTGATTACATTTTGTTCACTTTTTTATATATACCCGTACTACCTCTCACTATGTGTGCCATAAAGTTGGCAAGTTTTGCATGCAAATGACACTTAGACCAGCAGAAGGCAAACATCAATCAAAGAGTTTGGGGGAGTTAAGGAGGTTAGAGCAATTGACTTACCAAGGAGTTACCAAGACAGCTGCAATCTACAGGGATATGCAGGGATATGGAGAATTGGGCAGGGAAACTAATAAAATGGGAGGTTACTTTACATTTTACTAAGGTAATCCATACGCTTTCATCGCCCCTTTATTTTACCAGGTGAATATAAATACAATTTCGGCTAGTTTTTGATGAAAGTGGGTATTTACCAAAGCAATTTATATACACATCCCCAAAGTGAACAGCATTTATTGATTAAATTTTATTACAAAAATGTTTATATTTTATTTTCTTCAAAATCAACAACTTTTAGTAAGATCAGATTATCTGCAAAAATTTTACACCAGGCTTTAATCCTTTCGGCAGCTTTTCTTGTTACCTCCCAGGAACTTTTTTCCAATATAGAGGGTCTGGTCGAACGGTCCATTAGCCAAATTTTAATAGTTTTTCCCTCCTGGTTTGTTCAATGTATTTTTTTGGATGTTTGGTTCGGAGCTTTGTTTTTGGTCGCTTACATGCAAACGCCCCAAGTGGCAGCCGCTCGAACAAATATTCCATTTTCCCGGTTACCCCCATTAAACTACGGCTAAAACTACAGCTGCCGATTACATTTTCGAAACTTTTTAGACCACTTTTATAGGGAATTTTAATTGAAGTCGCCTTCGAATAAAACAAGAGGTATTAAACCACGTGCTCGCGGTTCAGTTGAAATTCCTAACTAAATATTTAGCTTTTCTATTACGCAAACTGGTGGGGGAGCAAAAAACCATCAGATTTCTATGGGTTGGGGGCATTTTCCAATTTCTACAAATCCCCGGTATGCGTAGCCAGCTAAAAAAAATTACAACGAATTGAACTGGCTGAAAAAATGGACCTGAGAGGTAGTTGATTTTGGGCAGGTCGTAATGGCGGATCAATAAAAATTGCAAGCACTTTTACCTTTCGTATTTTTTTGCTCTTCTGTTTTGTTTGCTCGCCACATTGGGGAATAAAATAAAAATGTTTAAGTCCTCTCTTTTTTGGGTGTCCCGTAACCACACAAAATGATAAAGCTGCACACCTAGCTGAAAATATTTGTTTGAATAGCTAATATAACAACTGTTTGCATTTTTGATACCCTTTTTATATTCTCAAGGGATATGAAATAATTTTAGTTGTAGCAATATTGAAAAGTAAAGAAATTTGTTTTTATATATTTATAAGATAAAGAAAAAGTGCTTGCTTGTCGCACTATGATTATTAATTCTAAAATAGAGGTACTGAATTTCTTCAAACAGGTATCAAATATTTATGAATGTTATTTTTATTGTTAAGTAGCTGTGAAATATTTTAGAAGTCTGCCCAACCTATTTATTGATTTGCTTCATTAGCAAAAATGACTTGTTATATCAACAAATATGTGTCAATATAATCACGATTGAGTCATTAGCATTTATTAGAAGTATTAGAATTACTCTTTTTTCCTCCACTTAGTAGGGTATTTAAGCTCCTGTTTGTTTCTGAAATCATTTCCCTTTGGTCCTGTTTTTTGAGCTGTTGAAGCCTGGTAGACTAATATTTTTATTGGTAAAATGGATTTGTGACAGCTCCGATTGGCTTACGGCATTTGATTGAATATATTCTCTTGGCTTTCACTCTTCACATACGGCTTTCATTCATTCATTCTTTTTGTGCTTCAGTTTCAGTTTCATTTTCATTTTCGCTGAGATTTCGATTTCGAATTGGAGTTTCGTTTTCAATTTCATCTTAAACTGGCTTAAAGGGTTGAAGGGCCCTCGGTGTTTTGAACCCACTCTGCTTTTTTTGTTACAGTACCGGTCAAGTGCGATAAGTCGGTTAATTGCTGCTGGATGATGCAGCAACAAATTACATCGGTCCGTTGCGTGACTTCTTCGACACCATTCTGAATCGAAGAGGCATATTGTTTTCAGCACCGTCACCGTCGACCTGCAGTTGGTGTTATTGTTACAATGGCCCAAGACACTTGACATTGGCCCCTTACACAGGCGACATTGAAAGCCCGCATCGAAGGTCCCCCACCCAAAATAGTTTTATAATTGTAGGATAAATGGTGTTTGTAGAATGGCGGATGGGAATGAGGAATATCATTTAGTATATATGGGTATGGGTCTTCATGGGGTGGGGTAATCTCTAACGAAAATATTGACAGATTCTTCGGCAATCAAATAGTGCAGAGCAAATGGGTAAACACATACACCAGCCGGTCTTCAGATCTTCAGATCTTTAACGAGCATTGACCATTGTCAGGGCCCAAACATCGAACATCCGGCTCTGAGCTTCGAACACGTCTTCGAAGACGCTTGGACCGAAATGTGTTAATGCGGCTCGATTGCGTTCGATTGACCATCGAACCTCTTTTTGCCGCCCTGTTAATTTTTTGTATAAATAGTTAAAACGATTTCAAAAGCAGCAGCAAAACCCAACAGCAGCTCCAATAGATTGAGCAGGTCAGAACCAGATCGCAGAGCAAGTGAAGCAAACGTTCAAGTTACAGGAAAGATGGTAAGCCAGCATATTGAAATAGACCGGCTCTTTAAGTAGTTCATAGCTTTAAGGTGTTAAAAATTTAATTCAATTTAAAGTTTCACTATAAAAACATGTCTAACTTGTATACCAAATAAAATTGTGAAAAGATACATTTCTTAGATGTCATGATCTGTCATGAAATAAATATAACTTATTTCGAAATATATCTAACATGATAATATGAATCATAATCTATCATGAATAATATTATATCTAACATGATAATATTATAGGTGTCATAATCTATAATGAAATAAATATAATTTAATTTAAAATATATCCATCACGATAATATTATAGCTCTTTTAAATCTATCAAAAAATACTTATAATTTATTTTGGAATAAATGTAATATGATAATATTATGATATATGACGTGTTATTTTTTTTTGAAGCCAAGCTCATTCATTTTTAAGATAAAATCAAACTTGAAATTATTTTTCATTACCTATACAAAATGTTTGTAAGGGATTAAAATATATTTATATTTCTAGCAAGGATTCCAAGTACTCTGCCTGCTGTTGGCTGCAGTGAGCCTGGCCAGCTGTCGTTCGGTGGTGCGCCGTGATGTGAGCCACCTCCCCTTGGAGTACCTTCCACCAGTGGAGCTGCCACCTGTGCCCAGTCGCGATTACCTGCCTCCGGTGGAGCAGCATGCGGCCACATTAACCCATGTGCTCCAGCCGCCCCGTGATTATCTGCCTCCCCTGCCGCTGAACAACGAGTACTTGCCACCTGTGGTTGAGGAGGAGCCGGAGGAGGAGGTGGCCACCACAACGGAGGCAATAATTCCAGAAGAAACCACCACAGTGGAGCCAACCACCGAGACAGTTATCGTCACCACCGAACAGCCGCAGGAAGTGGAGATAATCACGGAACCGCAGGAGGAGGTGGAGTTGAAGGCTGTGGAGCATTCGGAGGAGGAGGAGCCCAAGGAGGAGAAGCAGGTGGAGTCGGCAGTGCTCCTGGACGATGGCTACCACTATCGCACTCCCTCTGTGGTGCCCGATCTGCTGCCCGTGAAGGAGTATCTGCCTCCTCTGGACGGAAATGCCGTGGTGGAGGAGCTGCCCAATGGCGAAGAGGACTCCTCCGCCCTTCTGGACGATGGCTATCACTATCGTTCTGTAAAGCGACTCCGCTTCTAGTCCTCCAAAGCCACTAGGTGCCTTATTTTATTCCACTACGAATTTCTGTTTCTGTTCTGTGCGACAATTGTTGTTTAATTTTACAAAATATATAGACAAATACCTTGCCGACACTGAGGGTTTGACACGCAACGGGAAAAAGGAAAGTTTGTAGGGGAAAACAACTGAAAAGTACTCAGTACTTTCATTTATTTTAGTGTATAGATGGTAAGAAAATATAAAATAAGTGCCTAAAATCTTATAGTCACAATTTATTTAGTATTATATCTTAACTACAACTCGTTACATAAGTTTTTTTAAAAACTCTGGAGAAATTGTGTTAAAATTAAAATAGAGACATTTGATATTCTTTCTATTGTTGGAAAACCAAACCTCTTAAAATAAATTTCTTGTAAAAAACCTGAACTATTTAAAACACTTTAATTTGGAGAGATGTGCTATAGAACTCTCTAGACATTTCTAGACATTTAAATTTCGAGCTTCTTGTCAACCCTTATCACGCGTATACCCTTGTAATCCCACACATACCTCGTATTAGTATTATCTTACCTACAACAAGTTATTTAACTTTATAAAAAACTCTAGAGAAGTTGTGATTAAATAAATAAGGAAACATTTGATATTCTTTCTATTATACTCACTTAATAAACTTATAAACCGGTAAACCAAACCTTTTAAATTCAATTTCTTGTAAAAAACATAAACTATTTAAAGCTCTTCAATATGGAGAGATATCTCTAGACATTTCTGGACATATAAAGTGATTTCGAGCTCCGTGTCATCCCTCATCACGCATATACCCTTGTAATCCCACCCATACCTCGTAACAACTGGATGGCTGCCGTGAACATTTTATTTATATTGATGACAGGAAATTAGAAAAATGTTTTCACAATGCGCACGCGACGAGAACTCTTCACCGGGAGATATTGTCGCAGTCCTGCGAGGTCCTTGCTGCGTGGGTCCTGCGGGCTACCACCTTCACTTTCCACTTTCAGCCCCATCCCAACCCCCTCTCAATTGATTTGCGGCCGCCTGTGGCCGGGTTTTATTGTTTTCTTTACGTGTCGGCACTCCGCATACATTTTCATTAACCAATCTGGAGAAAGTTTTCCCTGAACTTGGAAAACCCGCAGCGCCCTTTTTCGTCTGACAAACTCTCAAGCCAGTTCAATAATTCAACAAATTTCCAATTGGCCGTATAAATATTTGAAAACTTTTAAATGTTATTACTGTTTGTCGTGGTGTGTTTGTGTTGGGCCTAAATATAAATGGAATTTTTATGTTTCCGTTGGTTTTTCTGTTGTTGAATTTACTTATGAATAATTCAATGCGAGAAAACAGAGAAATTGCTTGCCTACTTTTGCGCGCAGCTCTCAAATAAAAAGTGAAGCAACAAGTGGCTAAAAATTTGCGGATACGTTTTTCCCCTTGAGATAACCAAAAAACAAATAAAAAATCCAAGCTTTAATCCGAGCTTTAAGTGCATTGCACTCTGCCGAAATTTTGTTTTCCTTTCTTTCCCTTTTTTCTTGATGGTCATAAACCTCAACAAATCGGAGCCAAAACAAACACCTGTAAACAGTTTCCGATTGAAAGATTCGGCCATGTTTCGTCGAGTGTTGAAGGCGGGAAAAGCTTGTGGGAAATGCGGGAAAAGCCTGCCGAAGCTTTGGCCATTCAACATTCGACGAAGCGACGACGAGGAAAATCGTATAAAAGCCGAACGTCGAGGAAAATTCAACTTAGTTGCGGGTTTATTGTTGCCGAATGCGAACGGTTTGGAATCGCCGGAAAATGCGGCCGGGCTGAAGACAGTGCGAGCGAGTGAGATACAGATAGTCGGGCGAGCAACAGTGAAAAGCGTTTGAAGGGCCATAGATACAAGATAATGCCCCATAGAGGAGTCGACTCCTCTCCGCCAACCGATATGTGAAAATCACCCAGTGAGGCGAAAGTGAAAGTGTGTGAAAGGTGGGGAAAGGAGGCGGCCAAGTGATAATGGATAAAGCAACTCTAGATTGTAATACAAGTTCTCGGTTTCTCTGAGACAAGTTTTTAAATGATGCCAAAGTACAGAATTTCAAAAGAATAACGATATATGTTATGAGTTATAAAAGTATTAAATTCGGCAAATGATCACTGTTCAAATGTACTATTTGCGAAGATTTTAGTTTTTATAATTGTAAATAATTTTTGAAATACATCACATTTTTCAAATTTAAAAGTCATACTTAAAACCCAATCATACATTGTTTAAGGAAATTTAAAAAAAAATAGAGTGACACAACCTAAGACATCTTAAAAGTGAAGTGTAATAGGGCAAAATGTAATGTATAAATAGAAAATCATCTATTTTTATTGCGCAATAAATCCAAATATTATGGCATATTAATTTGTAAACATCCAAATAAGAAAACCCAAATCTTTAAGATAAGCAAATGAAAATCATGAGGGGAAAACTCTGCGTAAGCTACCCAAAAATTAACTGCCACAAAACATTTGCAAATATAAATCAAAATTACCATAAACGAAATTCCACTGTGAATAAAGATGAACTCGAGGAGCCAAAACGACTTGAATAAATCAAAATTAAATATTAATTAAGGCGGCATTAAAATTGCTAAGAAAATTGAATAACCGAAATGGCTGTAAACCAAATTGCCTTGTGAATGCTACCGAAAGAAAACCAATTTTACACACTTAATTTAACCACAAAACTCTTTACGTTTCTCTGCCTTTCGCAATTAAAATGCAATTAATTTGGCAACAAATTTGTTGGGTCATCGTCTTTGAGTGCCAGTCCCCAGTAGGGAATTTTGAAATTTAATTTTCAATTGTCATTCCATTAATTTCATCCGATCGATTCAACAACTAGTTGACTTTGCGCCTCCATTGAATGGCCATCCGCACAAAAATTCATTTTCCCAGCGAAAGGGCTTCTGATGTTGTTTGGTATTTGTTGTTCGGCTTTGTGGGCTCAGCACAGAAAAGTTTATTAATAAAACGTTTTGCCTAACAAAGCACAAAAATGATAAAATAAACGCAACTCAGACAGGCGGATTAGGGTGGCAAAGAGGGGTGGGGATGGGGGTGGTGTTTGTGGGTGGTGGGTGTTGAATGTCATTGTTAACAGTTTTTCATAGATTTGTTACGATGTTTATGGGTAGTACCTTTTATTAACTTGAATTCTGAATCTATAAAACTATAAACTTAAAGGCATAGTGCAAGAAATTTAAAACTTAGGAAGTAATTTAGGAAGTATTTATTATAATTGCTATATTATAATATAGTTCTTAAAACCATGTTAGTTTTTATGGAATGCTTAAGAACTTCTAGTTGGTAAAGAATGTGTGTAGTTTAAAGCAAATGTTTGAAATGCTAGTGTTTAAAATTAAATCATTAGTTGTAAAATTTTTAATAATCTTGGTTATTAAAAATTCTTTTTTTTAAATGAACTACAAGTTTCAAAACTTTTTATTTTAACAAGGAATATAATCTAAGATTTCGAATAGAAACTATTATTTTATATGCACTTAAATTTCAGTACCATCTACTTAATTTGTTTTATTTTAAGGGTGTTACTTTTGTAATAACAGTTCCTTAAACCTAAACAGTATTATTCTAGTCATAACAATGACTTTCCCGCTGAGTACTTTCCCTGTCGATCAGATTTCGCCATGTGTCAGCTGGCATCTTTGTGCCTGCGGCCGTGTGTTTGGCACGCTTTTTGTGTTTATTAATAACAAAGTAATCAGAAATTGTAATCTCCCCGCAAAGCGTATTACAGCAGTAATAACAATGGCTACATTGAACCACCAGCCCATCGGCCCATCAGCCCACCATAACCCCACCGCCCCATTTCAATCGCACGCCCCAAAGAACCCCATCCACATTCTCATTCATTTGGCGATTTCAATGTGGGTTTATCTTTGCCGCTTGGCTGTCTTCACGGGATGCATCCTTGAATCCCCGGATCCTCGGATCCTTGTTCCATTGTTGCTGCCGCCACCGAGAACGCTTCCGGCTCAAGTATCTCTGTTTTTGTTATGACTCCCCTGCCTTGAACATGTTTTCATATACTTATTTTCCATAGATTTGCTGTTTATATCTGTTTTTATTATTTTCTAATTTGACGCTTCATTTGTCCATGGGTGATTTCGTTTTATTCTGTTCTCTTAGAGAAGGGTATTTTGGTACTTTTCAGGAGCGTAGAAAAGGGCAAATATCTTTAAATGAGACTAGAACTTAAAAAACGCAAATAAATAGTTAAATATAGTTAACTATTCTTTTTAATTTAAGTAAATATTTCTTCAATTTTTTAAATAGATCCTTAAAAAACTGTATATTTAATAATATTTTACCATTTAATATGTCAAATTCAAAATGGTATTTTAGCTTCCTAAAGGGAAAATATCTTTAAATGACAATACAACCTTAAAAAACATATATGTATAAATAGTTAACTACTGTTTTAATTAAAGTTAACACCTGTAAAAATCTTTATAAATAGCTCCCTTCTTATTATTTTTACCATTTCCTATTTCATAATCAAGGTGGTACTTTAATTTCCCTTCTTTATATTTTTTTTCTTGTATAATAATATTCAATACTTAAAAATAGATAATATGGTATCATTAATCTCAAAAGGGTGTTTAAGGGCCTGCTTATAGAAAGTGTAATTTATTTCTCGTTGTTTTTCCGTTCTTTGTGTTTTTCCTGCTTTCTAATTTGACTTTTGCTGGGCGCTGATTTGCGCTTTGATTTTCGCTGACTGATTGGGATTTAGTTGTCGGGGATGAGGGGTGGATGAAAGGACCAAGGACCAAGGACCTGAGATGGATATCGGGGTCCTTCCTATTGATGACTCGATGGCGTGTCTTTATGCCTCTCAATCATTTTGCCTGGCTGCGATTCGTTATTTGTACACTTGCCTTTTTATGTAATTTCACCCATGTCAGTTGGCTTTTCTTCCCCCCACCTGCAATTTGTGTTTTGCCAATTTGCCTATTTCGTATGCAAATTGCCAGCCATTTGGTGTCAGTCTCAACACGATGCCCCCCCTTTTTCCACCCCCCTTTATACGGTTTGAGCCACTGGGTCAAAGTAATAAAGCAAACAAATTAATTTGATTGTTTTCACTTGATTCGCGGCAATTTCGAATTTGGCTTCTGCAATTACTTCAGAACTTTGTTTAGCCTTTGCTCATTAGCAGGGAATTTTAAATCGAATTTGGGGATTTCACTAACAATATTAATTTCCCAATGGGTTGAGGATGATATATTTTACTCAGTGGGAAAAAAAGAAAAGATTTAAATTAAATAGACCTGATTTTCGTATGGTTTATAAACAATCTCTTACTGGCTGTAGTTTGAATAGGCATGAAATATGTACCTTAATTATATATTCCTAGAAATAACAAAGAGCTCTCATGCCTATTGTTTTCAGAAATGTTAGGAGCATTGCTAGAAGATAATTCCTCCTAATTAAATAAGAGATGAATTTATTTTTATACCCGTTACTCGTAGAGTAAAAGGGTATACTAGATTCGTCGGAAAGTATGTAACAGGCAGAAGGAAGCGTTTCCGACCCCATAAAGTATATATATTCTTGATCAGGATCACTAGCCGAGTCGATCTAGCCATGTCCGTCTGTCCGTCTGTCCGTCTGTCCGTCTGTCCGTCTGTCTGTGCGGATGAACGCTGAGATCTCGGAAACTATGAGAGCTAGGCTATTGAGATTTGGCGTAAAGATTCCTGAGCTTCTTACGCAGCGCAAGTTTGTTTCAGTAGACTGCCACGCCCACTCTAACGCCCATAAACCGCCCAAAACTGTGGCTCCTACAGTTTTGATGCTAGAATAAAAATTTTAACTGAAATGTAATGTTCTCATCAATACCTATCGATTGACCTAAAAAAAAGTTTGCCACGCCCACTTTAACGCCCACAAACCGCGAAAACCTGTGACGCCCACAATTTTTATGCTAGATAAAAAGTTTTAACTGAAATGTATTCGTCTCGTCATTACCTATCGATTGATCCAAAAAAAAATTTGACACGCCCACTCTAACGCCCATAACGCTTAAATCTGTATACCGCCGGTAGGTGGCGCATTTTAATCTCGCTTTGCTACTTGCATATCTCTATTTAGCTGAGTAACGGGTATCTGATAGTCGAGGTACTCGACTATAGCGTTCTTCCTTGTTATATTTTGTATGTGCATTGCGTGGTTTGCAGAGGTGGGCGTATTAATTGTGAAAATTCATTTTAAGGTTGGCAATGCAATATGCCTTAAATTTCCCGAGCTTAAGAATTTAATTTACCTTTCAGTTCAGTGCATTTTCAAATGATTTAATTAGTGATTGGTTTTTTTTTATAAATATTTCAATCATTTAATTTAATTTGTAATTTTTAATCTCCCTTTTAAAACCCTTTGCCTTTATTCTGCTTTTCCAAAAAAACATAAACGAAATTGTTTTCCGACAACCTTTTCTTTACCAATTTTCTGTGGTGTTTTGGTTACAAGCCTTAATGTCCTTTTTGGCCGCAACAAATACCAAAAAAAAAAAAGTGAACTGTCAACCATAAAATCTCGCAATATGAGAAAGAACAACAATCAGCAGGCAACTACAACAAATCAGTTTAATTTGAATTCCTTTTTTTTCGCCAGCGCGTGTGTGTGAAAATAAAGAGAAAGTTTTTACACAGTTTATTTTTGTCGAGACCTTTTCCCAACGCCCACAATAAACAAAAACGAAATGAAAAGCGCGGTATCAAAAGGGAGCGAAAAGGGAAAATTAAATTCGCAATAATTATTTCAAATATTTTTTCCCTTAAACGGGCTTTTCATTTGGTATGCAGCCATCTCGGCGTTTAAAAAATGCGCACAATTTAAAGTTCAAAAGTTGGCAGCAGGCGAAACAAAGCAACGTAAGGAAAAACAAACAGAGAGATGAAAAAATGCGAATATTCTTCAGATGTTGTTCTTTGAGGCATACGAAATACTCAGATAAATTATCATCAGCCTAATCAACATCAGCGTTATTATCAGCAGGAGGAGCAGAGAAACTTTTCATTTTCAGCACAAGGTATGTATGGGAAATTGCAGGAAATAAATTCTGATTTGCTCCTTTTAATATGTCCGAAACATTACGTAGCCGACCTGTGTGCCGGTGTCCTTACGATTCGCTGGATCCTTTGTGATTTCGCTCGTTCATAAGCTGGCTGCCACTCTAAGTACTTAATTATTTAATTATGTTGAACGTCACACACATACACGGGCTTGTCCAGAATAATATAAGGGAAAGATTTCCGGCCCCCATACCAAACTATATACTAAACTAAACCACTGGAGCTTTTCCACCATTCAACTTCTGTTTCGGTTAATTTCCTCTACATTCTTTGGCCTTCCACCTCATGTGGTTCGCAGTGCAGTGCTGGCTTTGGTTTATTTCCATTTCCGTTGCACGAGGCGTATGCGTAATATGAATATTTTTGTAAATTATTAAGTATACGTAATGAGATAGTAAATTTGCGCCCCCAACCGCAGGCAGGTAGTGCGGTTTAGTGTCAGCGATGAAAATTGCATGTGTGTTCCCCAGGTGGGTATGAGCCAGCAATTAGTTAAACACAAAACTTTATGCCCCACCAGAGGTTGCGGAGTTTCGCACTTCCTGTGACCCCCGACCCCTTGACTTCCCGTAGTTTCCTTCCTGCCCTCCAGGACCCCTTATCTCGTAGGCTCGTCCGGGTCTTAGTGGGGATTTATGCTGGCTCATCTGACTTTAGATATGCTCGTTGGCAGCCAGGTGGACCAAGTTCGGCCTAAACTTTGAGCAACTAAATGTCCTGGTGCTACCAGAGATGGCCTCAAAACTTTTTCTCTCGGGTGTCTCAGTTTGCTGGCGAAAGATGGAAAACTTTATGGATTACAAAGAATTTATAATTGAAGCGAAGTGTGATGCGAAAACGTTTTAGGAAATCGATGGCTCAACACAAATTAAAATTCCATTCAGTGCGGAGACTTAGAAGTTGCAGTGAAAACTTTTAAGACATTTCAGTTTTAAGAGCACTTTAATACCTTGAGATAAGAATTCAATTATTTTCTTAAATATCATCACCTGTCGGGCATTTAATTCCCTATCGAATGATATTCCATCCAATCTATGCCTAATTTGTGTGAACACATTACTAATTAGCTTGAATGTCATTAGCCCAAAGCTTTGAGCTCATTTACTCGTGTGTTATTCATTGGATTTCCATTTCCAAATGTGTTGATACTCTGCCTGAGGGCAAGACCACAAAGTATCTTATTGTTTGTAAATCTTTTTAGGAAACAAAAGAACTACTTAATTAAAGTCAAAATCTTTTAAAATATTGTTTTTGTTGATGCTAGGCTTTTATTTGAATTTATAAATAGCAAACCATTGTGGATTAGAGTGATCAAATATTTAGTGAATTCTTTATTTTAACAAGCCTCTGCTCTGCACAAGTAGCCAAAAATAGAACTATGTACCCAAATGTAGCTGATTTGGCCATCTTTAATTAGTCATTGAATATTCGTCTGGCATCGGGCATATACATTTCCAAAGCCAAATCCAATCAGCTGTTGAGCGTGTTAATTTATTCATAGAATTATTTTTCTGGCCCTCCTTAACTGACATACGAACCTAACACTGCCTTACCCTTTTCCCCCAAAATCTGCCTGATTAGTACAAAGAAAATCCTCTTTTGTTTGCAGTCCACGCACGATTTCGATGGGAACTTCAAGGCGAGTCCCCAAATACCCCTATCCCCAGTCCCCAGTCCACAATCCACAATCCCCAATCTCCGATCCCCATCCATGGAGGCTGAGCTCTCGGTTCAATATGTTTTCCCATTCGCCTGATGCTTTCTTTCTTTCTAATCCGAAAGTGCGGACCATCTGGTTCTGCCTTAATTCCCCGGGCATCCTTTGACACATGAGATGGAAACTGTGAGAGTCCTTGAACTTGCCACGTTTCGTTGCCGAGTTACAAAAGTAAAACACGGCATTCAAGTTCAACTCAATTACTGTACCTACTGAAATACAAAATTCAAGTTCAACTCAATTACCTGACTTTTGTGATGACTAGGCCTTTTATTTGTTTGTTGAAAGCCCCAAAAAATGAGAGAGATTTTACTTTTCCGGGTATGAAAGCGCCAACTGACTTCATAAAAATTGTTTCACTGCGGCTCTTCCGGTTGCCAAATTAAACAAAAAATAAAAAGAACAATGAACTGAACACGTTTTTCTGTTTACTCAGCAATTGTCCATGGAAATGCACACAATATTTTCGATATAAACACACAAATGCAGCAGATACGCAAGAATGTGTACTTATGTGGGCCATATAAACAATCATAAACTTCGTGATTTATGCGCCATTCGAGAGCATCGAAATGCAATCGAACGGAATTGGAATCGCAAATTTTTCGACTCTATTCAAAATGCAGTTTACTTAAGTGTGTGTGCCAGTTTAGCGAGCTGGAAATCGAATGTCGAAAATGAATTCGCAGGGAAATGCCTGAAAGCTGGGCAAATTCAATTATTTAAAAGGGGAAAGTCAACTAAGTTTTCCAAAATAAATAAATAAACGTGACTTGTTGTTCTTGAATAAAATAACTAAATAAACAAATACAGATTTCAAAGAAAAGTCACTTTATACACAACAAGTTTCAATCAATTTAAACTATTTTCTTTGCTACATACTACTTTGATTTTATTAAATTGAATTATTTATAAATAGGTATTTATAAATAAATTTTAATTTGTGACTTGTTACTATGGGAAAAAATATTAAATGTTAAATTATGTTCATAGATATATTCATAAATTTAAATTTTAAAAATATTTTATATATTTTGACTTAAGTCTCCTAGTTACACAGACTTAAAAATTTACTGAACTCTTAGTAAGCCCTGCACTGGGAGAAAATAAGTACCTTTTTAAAATCAGCTTATCTACTTCAACTCCTTTAAATTGTCGAACTATTCTTCTTAATATGGAAATACTAGATATTAGATAAACTTGTAAATACCACTATAGTCCGGCCGAAAGCCCCAGCCACTTTGGCTGATTCCTCCTTGCACCCTAAGTTTTGGACAGTGTAAAATATATAATTGCAAGACACGAACAACTAAGATTGGGAATTGGGAAATATATAATATTGCATTCACCGGATTCTTTAAATAACCACAAGGCTTTGGGCGAATGACACCTCGATTTTTAATATGGCGCATGTAGCCTCTATTGGCACCTTTTGATTTAATGAACCGGTGAGCAATCAATGCCTTGGGCAGTCCTTCAACGATGACGTAGGCCGAGTCATCGAAGGCGAAGGTTTCCGGATCCTGGCCGCCTGCCAAATCGGCACTTGACATTGCCCAGTGACTCGGAGGTCCTCGGAATGCTCCAACCGCCGGATGACCAGGGGAAAGGCCATAACCCGCCTGCTGCATAACTTTAATGAAATTGCAACCGGCTAAACAGACAATAAACAGTCAGGACATGGGCGGGCAAAGGGGGGTCCGTTTCTGAAACGCAAACTAAGTATGCAAAAGGGCATGGAAACAGTGGCTAACTAAGAGAATGGCAGTGGAGATACAGAGGGCTAAAGTCACCGGGCCAAGAATGGCCGGGAACTGTGAGCTCTGGGCCACATGAGCACATGGCTCTGAGCGCAACGCATAAAGGATAACGGATAATGGACTTAAAATAAACAAAGCCAAAGGCAGGCGGAAGAGCAGGGCAAAAGGAAGGCGGACGAACAAAACACGGCAAAACAGAAAATGGCCAGGAAGGATGGAGAACCGGGCCAGGGAAACTGTTTTGCTTTGTTGCCAACGTACCCAGTGATCGGGAAAATGGGGAGTGGCTACATTATGAGGGTTTTATTTTGGCATCTCTAATTTGGGTGTTAGGTATTTTTTATAAACCTCTGAGCGAGTTAATACGAAAACCTATGGATGAGATACAGAAATAAGTGTTCTATTTGTAAAGGTATAAATACTTAAGTTTACTAAGATACTAGGCATTTTAAAGATATTAATATTTAAATGTGTAATTTTTTGTAAAAAATCTCAACTGAATTATGAACAAAAGTGTTAGAAATCAGGCAATCATTACAAATAGATAATATCTTTGTCTAAGAAATTGACTTTACAAATGTTGGAACTAGATAGAATATATGTTTTAATCAAAATGCTTAAGTATATTAAGAGGATAGCTTTATATATTTTAAATTTGGAGATATTAAATATTTCAAAATATTATTTTTCATACAAAATATTAACAGAGTTAAGATCAAAATGGTTTGGAACCCGGCGATCAACATAAATCTATCACAACTTAGTCTGAGAAATTGACTATAAGTTTTGGAACTAGATAGGATATGTGTTTAAATCGAAATGCCTAAGATTGTTAAATGGATTTCACTGCGGATAGCTTTAAATATTTTAAATTTGGAGATATTATATGTTTCAAAATATTATTTTTATACAAAACAGAATTAAGATCTAAATGGTTAGGAAGCCGGCAATCATTATAAATATATCATATCTTAGTCTGAGACTCTACAAATGGATAGATAGGATATACGTTTAATCAAAATGCTTAAGTTTATCAAGAGGATTAAGTTTACAGCTTTTTATGTTTTTAAAGAGATGTTATATATTTCAAAATATTATTTTATACAAAATCCCAACAGAACTAAGATTAAATGGAATCAGGCAATCATTATAAACCTATCCACTGCACAAATGTTGGGACTTTAGAGCATTCCCTTTCTATGAAGGATGCACTTTTATTTCCAATAGCTGAGTACCTCCTTGTTGATCAGTCCCCTTTTGTATTGACGCTTCTCTTCACCGCTCAATGCACATCATCAACAATGAAGGGACTGAAGCTATAAACCGAGACAAAAACGAAGCGGAGGGCAGATAGCATCTGGATTCAGGTAGGATGTCGCATTCATTCGCTTGGTTTGCTTAACTTGGATCACGTCACAAATTAGTAAGTCATTTTGCCATCTTGTTTACCCATTTAGCTGCTGGAAATCATTTTCCGCTC